GACCAAAACGCTGGCTTGCATCCATAGATGCTTCTCAAGCAAATCCCGGGACGTCATTCTCCCCCTGTACTCGGCCTTAGTGAGGCCGCAGCTGGAGTACTGAGTCCAGTTTTGGGCTCCACAATTCAAAAAGGATGTGGAGAAGCTTGAGAGAGTCCAGAGAAGAGCCACGCACATGATCAGAGGTCAGGGAAGCAGACCCTACGATGACAGGCTGAGAGCCCTGGGGCTCTTTAGCCTGAAAAAGCGCAGGCTCAGGGGTGATCTGATGGCCACCTACAAGTTTATCAGGGGTGACCACCAGCATCTGGGGGAACGTTTGTTCACCAGAGCACCCCAAGGGATGACGAGGTCGAATGGTCACAAACTACTACAAGACCGTTTCAGGCTGGACATAAGGAAGAACTTCTTTACTGTCCGAGCCCCCAAGGTCTGGAACAGCCTGCCACCGGAGGTGGTTCAAGCGCCTTCATTGAACACCTTCAAGATGAAACTGGATGCTTATCTTGCTGGGATCCTATGACCCCAGCTGACTTCCTGCCCTTTGGGCGGGGGGCTGGACTCGATGATCTTCCGAGGTCCCTTCCAGCCCTGATGTCTATGAAATCTATGAAATCTCCCACTGAAGTTATTCAGAGAGTGCCCTATTTGTGTGAGATGTGTTGCAGATATAGATTAAAAGTCTCTGTGCTGGAGATTTTGCAATTTTAATTGCAGTATTAATAATAGTAAAGTCACCTATCCCCCCTGTTTAAATGAATGAAACCTTCCTTTGATTTTTGCTGGTACCCAAGTATTATGATGACTGAGTCCTTCTCCAGCTGGGAGATTTACAGCTGAGATAAACAATGTCTTGGTTGCAGAGAATAAGCCACAAGACAATGTAAGCATCTTGCCAGCAATCAATTACAATATAGTTAGCCTAGTAGTGATGATGTAGGCACCCACTCATAAGTTCAGTAACCTGTGTATCTCCCTGGACATCTGAAAATACTTTTTTTTACCAAGGGAGGAAAGATTCTTTAGAACAGTGGCATTCTCTCTCATGCCTCAAGATGACACTATATTTATTCTTCATAAATATGAAATTACCAGAAATTCACACAAGTTTAGCACCTATTAAGCACCGCAGCACTGACCTAAGACTGCACTGGGGGGTCAATATTTGTGCAAGATCCAAGTTTGTGTCTAGAACTTAAAGACAGCTTTATCCCCTAAAATTAAAAGCCATAATATAGTGAGTGCCTCATAGACTTATATCGATTAAGCTGCTTGATGCTGTTTCTCACTAATTCCACGTAAGTGCACTTTTAATTGTTAACAGAAGTAACAGTTGCATATTTCTCAGACATCCAAGCACTGATTTCTAATTCTAGTGTGGAGTATACTATACTTATTTTTCAGGGGTATAAAACTTGATTTTTTAAATATCTAAAAAAATGAAATACTTCTTTCTAACAGGACATCCTTTAAACACTGTATCCAACTTATTAAATTTCTTTATTTTGTGATGTATAGTTTTATTTCTAGTCCCCTGTTGATATTTTTCTCTCTGACACCCAGAATAGATCTTTACAACAAGGAAGAAACTGACAGATGGGAAAGAACGGTGAAACTGACTACAGAAAACCATTGCTAAATGAACAGAAGAAAAATAACAACAATTTCAATAAAAAACCTCCATTTTGAGTCCTAAGTGTTACTTGGAACTTCAGGAGGTATGACAATTTCTTTAGAGAAGTGAAATTTTTATGCTTCTTTTGAAATAAAAACAAATCAAGACAATATCAAAACCAAATTTTATCAAAACACTAGATATTCATTCCCTCCTGTATTGTGGTGTTTCATTGCATCTCTCATCAACATTTGAGCTCAAGATGTGACAGCAACCACACCAACATGTTGTAATTCTCTCAGATGTTCTTCCCAAGAAACACAAAGGACTTCACAAACAGCTAAGATACATGACATAAAAAGTAGAATTATTCCTATCTATGAGACTGGGCAAATTCTGGGTTTGAAATAAAACTTCTAAAGTATAATCTGGTGGTTAAGACAGAACTGGGACTCAAAATATCTGGACTCAGTTTTTAGTTATATGAGAGTCCAGAGAGTCCTCGAGGGTCTTGAGCATAAGCCCTTTGACTCAGCTCTTTCAGGGGATAATACAATCTCCCTTGCCCCTGCTAATGTTCAAAGCTTATCTTCCCACATTACTTTTGGTTCACTGTAAATTAGATTGCAAACCTGGATAAAACCTGAAGGCGGCTAGACTGATAAATGTATATTGGTATGTTCCTCTAACACATTATATATAGGAAGAACTGAATATTTTGCCCAGAGAAGCCACCTTGCAGTTTTGCTACCTTCACCATTGCAAGCTTCTCAAGTTATCTGGCAGTAGCATGATGCGAAAGCTAGAGTTACAAGGCTGGTACCATCAGGTGTCATGTCCCAACTGTGTACAAACAGCATCTCCCCACTGATCCTTTGGCAAGAGCCTGAACAGAAGCTGTTGGCTGCACCTTGCAGGCACTTTGCACAGGAAAGCGACGGAGGCGAGGCCGCCACATTAGCTCATCAGCACCTGGAGTAGATGAATCCCTTTAAAAATACTGATTGAAAAAAAGAAAAAAAGAAAACAAGAATCAAGAGAGGGAACCTCTTGGCACATGCTGCCCCTGTACCCCAGACTTTGTGTCTTCAGCCCAATGAGATCATCAGGTCTCAGTTAGCCCCGTCTGCTGCCCAACTCCCCTGGCTGTGACCCTGGCTCTGGGTGATGCATGTACACACAGGAATAGGCATGCACACACATGAGGGCACATGTAGGTAGGTATACAAGCACACACCACACACATAAACACGCATACACACAAAGGCACACAAAGGCACACACGTGTGTACACACGCACACACACAGATGCAGCCAGTTCCTGGAACCAGCGAGAGCTGCCACCGCCTGTCTCCTCAACAGCAGGAAGTGTCCACCCGTCCAGCCTTGCCCTGCAGAACCACAGCTGCCGGCCTCCCGGTTCCAGCTTCATACCCTCCCCCTGCCCTCGGACCCTTCCTGAGGCTGAGGAGAAGCAAGGATAATAGCAAAAGCTTGTTGCTGGTGGGTTCATTGCCTGTCTCACAAAGGCTGTGAGATGTAACCAGTCATTGTAAACTGCTCTCTGATCCTCTGATGAACAGGGATCCTGGTTTTCTCTGATTAAAAAAAAAACAAACCACTTTTTGGATTAAAAAAAGGAACCCCAAATCCACATTTTTCTACAGTTAAGTAAAACATCTATCTATCTATCTATCTATCTATCTATCTATCTATCTAATCTTTAATATGTTTTCATTATTTATAAGAATTAAGAATCAGTCTTAATTTAGTGCAATAGCCTGTACTTAATGCAGTTGATGGTTAATTTGATTAGCTTTGTCTGAAATATTTTTCAAGTCTTAGTATTTTAAATATATTCTACAAGATCACTCTGCATAGTGACAGTCTTGTAAAATCAGTGCTGACAGCCTCAAAGGTTCAAAAATCATTAAACCAGGCCCCTAAATCAGGAAATGGACTTTAAAATCATGATTAAAAAATTAAATGTTGTTCTATTTTCTTTTTGCGTTTTGAGTCTTGGGGCTTACCTGCTTCTTGTATTCAAGCCTTCCTCTGCAGTCACAAAGACTAGAAATTTACTTTGTTCTTTAAACGGAAGCTCAGATTTTAATACAGTCTTACAGTTCCAGCAGCTGGGGCTTTAAGAAAATCTGCACAAGAGCACAAACCTATTGGCAATGTGGTAAAGAAATACATTTAGCTGAATCTGGTTCAGGTGTGAATGCTGGATGTATTCTTTTTCCCTAGTTTGGAGGAGGAGGCCAAGAGGATGATCTTGATGAGTATAAAAATGTGCATATGCAAATAACAAAAGCAGTCAGATGCTTTACAGGCGTCTCTGTTATTCCTTGTCTCTTGTCAGGCATTGCTATAGAGCAGGGGTTATCAACCACGGGTACATATACCCCTGGGGGTACTTGAGAAAGCCCTAAAGGGTACGGAGGGCTGCCGTGCATCATCCTGCGCAGGTGCCGCTCACCCAGCTGGACATAGGTGGGGGAACCTCACACGTGGCAGCTGCCTCTGTATCTGGTCGCACGCCACCCCCGGTCCGCATCTGGCTGCCAGGGATACACCGATCAAAAAAAGTTGAAAACCCCTGCTCTTGAGAAAAATGGATCCAGCAGAGGCTATAGGGCTGGCAGATACAGGACAGGAGGCTGAGGAGTCAGAGTATTCTAACTCTCTCCTGAGACCTGTTCTCTTGGGAGAAGTGGAGGGTGTACAGCAGATTTTTGAGGACCCAGAGGACCCCAACTATGAAAAAGCCATGCAACTGCTGTTGGAAAAGGACGTTATTGGCAGAGACCTGCTGTATGCAGCATGCATGGTTGGACAAAGCGAAGTCATCAGAGCACTGGCCAAATACAGGCTGGACAAGAAAGATAAAACAGACAGAAGTATACAGCAGGAGTGGGTCCCATGCCTGCTCACTCCCACTCTGCTCCACCTCCTATCCAAGTCAAAGGAAAGACTCATTTTAACTTCACTGGGACAGGACCTGGACTACTACTCCTCAAATCCTCAGATCTTTTTCACTGGGAGGGTGATCAGGCATTGAAAAGGGGTATTTAGAAGAGCTGTGAAATCTCCATCCCTGGAGATTTTCAAGAGTGAGTTAGACAAACATTTGTCTTGGATGGATGGATAGTCAGGGATGATCAGGAGGCTGGACTAAATGACCTCATGAGGCCCCCTCCATCCCTATGATGTTGTGAACCCAGCCTCTCTAAATTTACAAACCCCTGTTTCTTCTACTCGTTCTGCTGCTTAGGTCCAAACACCCCTGAAAATCTTTCCATTGACTTCATTAAGTTTGAAGCTGGCCCTGGGTCCCCACCTATCATCATAGCTCCACCTCTCCATGCTGCTCACTCCTGTCTTGGTTTCTTCCCAGTTCCCCTCCCATAACTCTCTGCTGTTAAGTATTACTTAACCATTTCTGTTGACTTAGCTGCCTACATGTGTTTTATTTCCTGCAACTCAATTTCTTTTCTCCTCCATAAATCTTGCCATAAAATTCCCTTGCCTCTGTCCTATGAGAGACTTTGGACTCTTTTTCTCTCTCACTGTATGATGGGCTCCTTGCATGGCACTTTGAGAAATTATCTTGGCCACAATGTTCTCCCCTACCCCAGCTGTGGGCTGTGTCCTGGTTGGTTGGTTGCTTCTCATCCAAACATCTCTGTATTTCAGGTGTGCTACATGTCTATGTAGCACTCAGGGGTCCTGTAGGGAAGGAAGTTGCTGAAGTACTATGAGAATACTCCCCAAGGAAAAGAAATTCTGTGTGTTTTTTGATGACTTTTCTTCCACATCTCGCCCAGGTTACACACTCCTTCACTGTACTGCCGCATGGGGACAACTAGAAACTTTGAAAATTCTGGTAGAACTGGGAGCTGATATTGTAGCAACCGCTTTCTGAGGTGAAAAGGCCCGAGATATTGCCTGCCGCTATGGCCAGGCTGAGTGCGTCGACTTCCTGGACTGGTCAGGTGAGAGAGAAACTCCTGAGATGCACAGCTGTACAGATGAGTGTTGGATCACCAAAGGGACATACATCTTAAGCTGGTGGAAATCATCCAAGCTCCACTTGAATCAATGATGTAAGGAGGATTTACAACAGCTGAGGATCTAGCCCTATGAATTGCAGATGTTGTGTTGTTCAGGTCATTAGCCCCTTCAGCTACTGAGACCAGATGTTCATCTGTGACACTGTGAGTGGGCCATGGGTAGCTAGTTAACCAGATTGTAAGGAAACTCTTAGGGAAGAGGAAAAATCTGGCTCAGATTTCCTGATCCTGCCAGTGATCAGAGAGAATGGGTGAAGCTGATTCCTACTGGTGTGGCTCCTAGACACATGGGCTGGTCATGGACCTGTTTGGTCTCTGGGGCAACTTAGCACAGTCTAAGAACTGCTCTGTTATACCTGACAGCTGCTGCCCTGAGGGTCCGTTCTTGCAGCTAAGGTTCACTGTAGCCCCACAGTGGTTCTCCCACCATGCCCTCTTTGCTTGGCCACTTGGAAAGTGCTCAGGAGCAAGAGTACTACTCCAGCTCTGTGCTACACTGGCACTTGCCTTTTGCCAGGGGAGCTGCAGCTAATTTGATAGATCAGCTCCTGAGCTGCTTCATATTGCTAGTGTGGCTCAGTATAGCTAAAGTGTAGGGGAAAATGGTGGCTTTTTTCTGCCAAGGATAGTGTTATTTGATATTCCAAATTCAAAACACGCTCACCAGAGTGTTCAAACATTTGCTTTTAATTAGACCATTTTGCTTCCCTCCTCCCATTCTACTCTGTCCATGACAGAATTCAACTTTGCAATTGTCATCATCAGATGACATTAGATCATTAGGTGAACAGTTCAAACACACAGCCATTGATTTCTATTTAGTGCCCCCACTGACTTCCTTAACAACATCCATGTAAAGAATTTGGAGAACAACTATCAGAGCATAAAAATATGATTTTTAGAGAAGGAGGGGCCCTTTTTCCATTTATACTTCCTGCATCACAGTGTCCACACTGGAGCAGTGGTTATAAGGACAAGCAGGGAATATTTCTTCATCATCCTCAGTTTCTTCCACCTTTCTCCTTTTATTTAATTGCCATGGTGGGACTTTTTTCCTTTCATGGTGGCAGACGTGCTTCAGGTATTTCATCATCATGGGTGTATTTGCCAACAGTCTCCACAGCATTTTGTCCACATTGGAGGTGTGCTCACCATAGAGTTCTGTTGCAACCGAAACTGTGGATGTCTGACTTACTACCTGGAAAGACAGAGCCCATAACACGGGGAATGTAATTCTTCAAGAGTCACAAACTACCAGGCCAGATTTCTTTCTTATTTAAAAATTCAAGTGTCAGTGGACCAAACCTTCAACTAGTATAAATCAGCTCCATTGACAGTTACAATGATTACAATGATTTACACAACAATCTGACTCATTGACTTCAGTGGAGCTAGTTTGGTTTATGCCAGGCTCAGGCCCTGGCCCAGACTCTTATTTCCACTGCCACAGATTTGTTCTGTGCAGTTTCTTGTAAAGAAAATCTCCTTTTTTTACCCCTCTCTTCAACTGGAAACTCCCACCGGTTTTACATTTGCAGGTAAAGTGCTTGATCATTTCCCCATTGCCCGTTCTAGGGTTTAAACCAGTCTCTAATATTCAGGAGCTAAAAGGAGAACTTCATGGCAGCAGCTCCCAGGATATGCATGGGCTTATAGTGGGTTTTCCATGGAGAGCTAGGAAGAGTCAGTGGGAGAGCTTGAATCTCTTCATTTTTGACAACTGGACTATTTATTTAAATGTCCAAATATGGATTTAGGAATGTAGTTCACAGGTCTTAATTCTAAAGAATCTCCAGTGCTATGCTCTAATCCAGGAGCAGTCACCCCCTGACTTTTGGGCCAGATTAATGCTGCAGTGCCATGTCATCCAGCATGTGGGACTTCCCACAGATCTGGAAATTTGGCAGTGGAGGGTGGGAAGTGGCAATGCTATCATGCTGCCAAATTTCCAGACCCATGGGGAGCTCCAGGACCAGAGGTCTGAATCAAGTGCCCCATCCGAGTGCTAAGGCATGGGCAGGGACACAGTTGAGCCCCACAGCCCAGAACTAGCATGCAAGGGGCAGTGCCAGGGCCTTGAGACCCAATCCTGGTATGGAGGGCTAGAAGTGGGTAGTTCCAGGATTCTGGGACCCAACCCCAGGGTGTAGGGACAGGAGTGGGTGGGACCCAACCCCTGTCTCTGTGGCCGGATGGGGCCCCGCCACACCTGCATTGGGTGCCAATTTGGGACCACCGGTGGTATCTAGCCTGCAAACAGGCACTGCCTATCCAGCCTTCCAGACAAAATGGTTGGTTTCTGCTGAGCTAGGACCTTTTGAGTTTGGTAATGGACATCACTCACTTCGGGCATCACATCACTTCTTTGATGCATCTTCCATTTGATCCATAGATACTGTACAGATAAAGAACAGAGGATGTAAAGGACTACTTTGATGCTAATACACAGGATATCCATCCATCCTTTGGTTGTTTCCAGGTTGGTAAAGTAGAGAGATAATTGGTCCAAAGGGTAGGGCAGGAAAGTAGACATAAGCTGTGTTTCAAGCTCCATTTGTTTCAGATCCTCTGGAAGAATATCCATGCCAACTCTCCTCCAGCTTGGGCGACCACAAATGCAAAGGCCATTCTGGAACAAGAAGACAGCCCAGAGAGAAAAACCCAGGAAGAAACTTTGAATAAACATTGTCTTGTTTTTTAAACAGAAAAGACTCCTGTGAATTGGTTGCCACCACGAACCAAATGTAGCCAGAGGTCCAGCAGCAAGTGGCCTTGAGAGCTCATACTATATTGCCTTGGGTGTATTTCCTTCTATCATAGCATTTAGTCACTGAGGCCAAACTAGTTGTAAACTGGTGATCTCACCGGCTGCGGATTTTTTTCAGAATAGGTACTATGATGTCATAAGGAACATAAAGCTTTTCTCAGTAAACAAGGTAAGGAGTTAAAGATACAACAACCTAATGTGGTCTAGTGATTAGAGTGGGGCATGGGGAGGAGTTACAAAGACTGATTTCTAATGCTGATTCTGCCATTGGTTTAACTTCTCTGTACCTCAGTTTGTCAGTCTCTAAAGTGGGGATGACACCAACCCTTTGTGTATGGTGCTTTGAAAACCTCAGGTGAATGGGACTATATAAGTTGAAAGTAGTACAGTATTAAAACAATGTCCTGGCTTGACAATTACACTATTACCTTATACTGGGGAGTGAGTGGGACCAGCAATTCCACTTAGGGAATCAGAGAACCTGGCAACCTGGTCTCATTGAGAACTTGACTTTGAACCCTTTGTTCACATGAGCAGACCTACTGAAGTCACAGTTTCTTGTGTTAATACTGTCCGTCTGCTGTGAGTAATGGGATCCATCCTGTTTTTCAGTCACTTGCTTATTGCTGTGGTCTGCTCTCTGCTCTTTATAAGATGCTTTCTTATTCTAGTTCTGCCAACAACTGATGCCTTAGTTTTGCACCCTATGAAAGTGAACCACAGTGATCTTGAGAGAAGGTGGAGTTCTGGCAACTTCCCATAAAGCCAAAAAGATTTAGGGGCATTCACCATTGCACAGGATCTGGATTATACATATATATCTGGATACAACAAGATATGTTGCTTAATGATGCTTGTAAGAGGAAGCAGCATGGTCTAATGGGGATATCGTCTGAGCACATCTGCAGCATGGCATACAGCTGTTTAGGAAATTATTAGATTGTGGCGCTCTGGGTGGCTTTGGACCAGACACTTCATCTCTCAGGGGCCAAATCCTTAGCTGATGTAATCTAGCATTGACATCAATGGAACTATGATGATCATAATATCCCCAGCTCTAAAATGGGCTGACATTATATATCTACCTTTTAGGCATACAGCAAAGTTTCATTCATTTATATTTATAAGGACAAATGTTTGCTACTTATGTGGCCTTTCCAGCAGCTTTTTTCCCCATGGTACCCAAGCCAGATTCTTTTTGTATTGTAGTCTGTCTCTGGAGACCTTTGATTAGTTCTGTAAATACTTTCCCATTATGTGAACCTTGTCTTCTGTGTCCTGTTTTGCAGAAGCTAAACAGGCCCTGCAGATATTCATCAGCCATATTCACGCAACAATCTCACCCAGAGAAGGTGCAGGGAAGGCTGAACAAGGAAGACAAGTTATGGTGCGGAGCTCGTACAGTGAGGAACATTCTCACTCAGCACAGCTTAGACCAGGGGTGTCCAACCTTTTTGAATGTGGGGCCAGATCACCAACTTTTTATCACCCAGTGGGCTGGCGAGCCATTTTCAAAGACGTCACAGGAAGTGGTATCATATCAGGAAGTGATGTCACGTGATCTTTGACACCAATGAAGTTGCAGGGGTTGAAATGGTGCTGGTTGACATGGCATGCATGCCCGGGTTGACACGGTGCTGCAGAAGCTGCTTGGCTACAGACAGGTTGACCTGGTGCTGGAGAAGCTGGGGGGCCAGGCCAGGGTTAACCTGGGGCCTGCCCAGCCTGCCGGTGCCATGCCTGGGTTGACATGGTGCTGCAGGACCCGCCTGGGCAGAACCGGGTCGGCACCGGCCAGGGAAAGCGGCATGCAGCTGAAGCCGGCTTCCCATGTGCTGCTGGGGATGGGAGGAGGCCGGCCAGGTCTGCACCAGCCAGCAAAAGCGGC